TTTTTGTGGCTAGAGGAAACTTCTTTCATCAGTAATTCTTTCCCTTTTAATGTCATATTATTTACTATAGAGTACAAATGGAATTGCTGTGAACACTCAAAACACAATACAGTTTTATATAGAACACTTTTTACTTAAGAGACGGTGTTCTTATTTTCAGGGAGGGGGTATAACAATCATGCATGTGAAGAATTCGCATTGACTGTAAATGTTAAATTGAATGATAGATGATTGAGATTTGCATTGTGGATGATAATCCATTCATATAGTTGCCTGTTCCCTTCATCCACGTAAATTAAGGCTGCAGGGTCTGTCTTTGTGCAAACTTTCCCACAGTCTGTTAATGTGTCTTCCAACAGCTATAAACTTATTTGAAGAAATGGCAGAATTGTACTTATTTGTGGAGGGAGTTAATCACCCACAGAATTCAATTGTTTGCAGAACTGAGAATGTTATAGAATGAATAGCTTTGAAATACTTATTCAGTGCTCAGAGAGCAAAGCCTGGTGAAATGAGTACTAAATTAGGAATCCAGAGACTTATGGTATAATGTTAATACTGCTTCTGTGTAATCATGAATGCCTCATGTGTCTCTCTGTACTCGTGTTTTCTTTTGTCAAATAGTGTTCATAATACCTCCATTCACCATTCACAGGGTTGCTGTGAGGATCAAATGAAGAAGGTACAAAACGGAAGCTACATTCTGGGGGTGGGGAGAATGTGGAAGATTGTTGGTACTCTATACACCTTATCTCATTCTTTCCTCAGGTCACCCTCTTTGACAGCTGTCATTCATTTTTTCCACATATTACTACTAACCAAACAAATGTACCAATCAGTTTGCAAGAGGGTAGAGAATAAAAAACTGGGAGGTTAGGGAATTTAAAAAAATAATGAGACCTCAAAATTATAAGTCCCACAAATACACAGTTGTTACAATTTATATTGGGATGAAGAAACTAATGCCATTCTCTTTACATTCTTCAGACAATAGATACGTGTTATCAGCAAACCAAACAGTCACTATTTATTATCCAGGGACCAAGAATGACACATTAAATATTAACGCAAATATATTTGTTTTTATACAATATGAATCTGCTTCAAATATCAATTATTTCAAACAAAAGAAACCCAATTTTTTTCTTTCACATACATTTTCATTTTTTTAAAAAAAGTTCTTCTTTTGTACAAATGAAGGTGACTAAAATGTATTACTAAACATAATCATTTAAATGTATCAAATGGACCCCTTATACCTACTTAGTAAGTATGGTGGGATTGCAGTGGTGAAACTCAGTTATGAGTCCAAAGCTTCAGATTTGGCATAGTTGGAAAGGTTAGGCTGAATGAATCCATCTTTACTTGATTAGCCTTAATATTTCCTGCCTAATACATAATACATAAGCCTTTTACAATATACTTTGTTTTATACAGCCCATGATTCTGAAATGTATGCAAAGTACATTTTTAGAAAATGAATTATTTTTTAACATATTAGGAGAGCTGACTATTTAAAGATTCACATTGTTAATCTTTGTATTAGGTTGAATTACATGAAATTGCTTATGTTTGATCATTTTTGGCCTACAAAAATGGCAATTTCATATGGCTCAGCATAATATAAGTGAAGAATTATTTTTATCTTAAAACAGAGTATACCTATATATAAATAATCTGCCTGTCTACATACCAGCTAATGTGCAATTTTGGGGGGAGTGAAAGTGAGGGAGGGATTTGCCAAGTCAGCATTTTGGATAGAAGGATAAATTCAAATTGTGCCCACTGGTTACTCTAGCTGCCTTTTTGAACGGTAATATATGTTAATTAATACATTGAGGGATATAATATAATTTAATATAAATGGAAAAATTCTCTTCTTTACAGTAAGTGTGCCATGATGAAAATATTTAGTTTATTTTTCTAAAGATTAAATACCATGTGAATCATTATAATGACACATCTGCTTAAAATCATCTCCATTTATATTATCACTGGAAATTGTGGGGGGTTATGCTGCTATTTTAGTGTAATCTGTGCTGTGTGCTTTGGTTAATGCTTAGTGAAGATCTGGATCCCATGGGGTAGTTGTGATGAAAGAGTATGGTTGTTTTCTAGGTGAGTAACCTAATCACAAATTAGAAATCTTCATTTAAGTTAGTGCTTAAAAAGCAGTTTTAATCTCCTGTAATTTGAGTTGGGGAGGTCAGGTGAGCAAGGAATAGATTTGAAGTCTGCGTCTTCATCAGATTCAACAACTAGGTATTGAATATCTTGCTATTCACTGCTTTCGAAAGTATAATCAATTCCTTCATTTATCCAGCCACTGATTTCTTAAATGTAAAGTGCATTCAAATACTGTGGGCACAAAAAGGAGAACCTGGAATGAGGGGAGCTATGTGTCCTTAAGAAGTTCTGGAGTGTATTGCCAGTCTTTGATAAAGTCCATGAATGGCTACCAAGAGCTCAAAGTTTAAAAGACCACAAAATCTCAGTGTTGAATAATCACACAACTTAAACCACCAACATGTAATAATATGAGTCACTTTGGGTTTTGTTAAATATAAAGCCAAAAGGAATCTGTATACCCTATAGGAGTCTTAGCCTACCTGCTAATTTGTTTTGAATGGTGCAGAATGCAGCTGCCATCTCTGGCACTGCACAGTTGTAACAGGTGTTGCAGAGTCAGCCTTATTGCTAAGTTTAGCTCCACATGTGGGGATTTCACACTATGCAACCCCTTGGAGAGGGGAGCATTGACAAACAACTGTGTATAAAAGTGGAAAGCACTTGGGAATTTCACCACCAACCTAGATTTAGATCAGAAGAGAGGGGCCGATCTAAATTGGTTACAGACTATAGGGAGCTACATGTCTGGTGGAGGTGGCATTAACCTAACATCCAGTCCATTTCTCTCTTTCCACCACTGAAGTTCCTGAGAGAGCACCCTGTGAAATTTGATGATCACTTTTTAGGTGTAAGAGAGAACTTTTTTTTAACAGGTAGAATATAATACAGGTGTACTAATCCTTCAGTGGCAAGAATACAACCAGCTTGCTAATTTTTAACTTGTAAATGGTACTCATCTCCTGATTCCCCTTTTGAAAGTTAATTTTAAAAATCAAGTTCTCTCTCCACTACTGGCATTCTAGGGCTACAGATGAGAAGTTTTCTAAAAATCTATTTCTCTTATAGATAATAAGTGAAACACTTCATCTTTTGGCAGGGACCAGGAAGGAAAGAGTATTTTCTGGGAAATATAAATGTAACATTTGAGGACACTGATCTCAATAAGGATTTGTTGGAGGGTGTTTTTCCATCTTTTCCTCCTTTGTCATTATTTTTCTTATACTCAGGTGTAAAAAGAGTCTAGTGATGACTAAATAGCTATAGCTCTCTAACCATTTTTCAGCAAAAAGTAAACAATAAAAAACATAAACTTTGGGACCCAGAAGCCTCGAATATTTTACCCAAGGACGCAATCATTCAACAACACCAAGATCATTTCATTTCTGCTTTAAAGTGCAATTGAGTCTTCTTTCTGAAGGTTACCCTTAAACAAAGCTCATAATTGTGTGCAACTCAATCCTGGAGCATGATAGGGAGGGCAAAAAAGGCAAAGAAGCTGCACATGTGACGTAGGGTTCATTATCATAAGAATATTTTGACTAAATTTTTCCTGGATTTGGGGGAAGTTCATTGCTCCATATTTTAGTAATACATCTGCCATTATCTGTTTTTAAAAGTCCAGTAATAGAATTAACACAGATATAATATGCACATCTTTCCTTTCTAGATGAGTTTGTTTAGAAATTTCTTTCTATAAAGTTGCTCTTTAAACTGAAAGTTTATTTAAATGTCTTCTTTCATTTGGTATAAACCTGATGGCCTAAGATGATCAAATCATTGCTCTCTTGGGAAAGGGTTAGTGATCCCTTTCATTAACTTATGACATGATTTAGTTTCAGCTCAGTAGAGGTGATTCTTTAGGGTCAAAACGCTAAATTTGTCCTTTTCTTGGAATACCCTCTTTCAACAATTAGCCCTTTTGAAGGCAAATCCTCCTTGTATGTTTTTGGAGCTTCCAGGGATCTTATGTTTTTTATAACCACTGCATATGAATTTCTGTGGTCTGAGGTTTGTGCAAGGCCCAGGCGCTCTTTGGTTACTATGGAAACTAGCCCTCTCAACTAGCTGCCATTTCCTATCTTCCTTTCAAAGAATGATAGATATCCCACAAGCAGAGTTAAGGTGAAGAATAACACAAAGAAAACATGAACAGCTTGTTGTTAAATGAACAACTTGTTGACTCTCTACATGGGAAGCTTCATGCAAGAAAGAAAGCTTTCCTGGACATGCACATTACAAGGGTTCACTGAGATCCACTAAAATTCACTTTCATCCTGGCTTTAGGGAGTGGGGATTCGACTCTGCATCTCTACATCTGTGAACTGAGGAACACTTTCTGTGCTCTCAGAGGTGATGGGCGAGATGACATGTTTGAGTCGAAGGAGCATTGTGAAGAGCAGGATGAGGAGAATGGCCAGGAGGCTCAGAAATAAGCCCACATACATGTACAGATTGGAATACTTGTCTGAAGTGGTGTCAACCTCTGTGGCCAGTGTGGGAAAATGGGCTCTCCCAGTGAGATTTCCATGGTACTTAAAATGCACCTCCATCATCACTCAAGATTTAAGTTGGTACTTGTTTCTATTTGATTTCTATTGCCCTTGAGGCATTCTACAGTCACTTTGTCTCTAAATATATTGGCGGTATCCTAACAAACTGATACAAACCAATCACCCTCAGAACTAAGGTAATAGCACACAAACAGAAAATGAGGACATCCTAATTTGACAATTGCCACACCCTCTATGTCCTCCACAGTAAACCCCCCCAATAGGTTTTATCAGTGCTTCTTGGTCAATTTAAAATATATATTTTAAGAAGCTTTATTTTTCATACTCCTACACTTATACTTATCAAAATAAATATGATGAAATTGCTTTATAATACTGTTACTGGGACAAGAATCTCTTAGTGTATTATATCAGACTTTTACTCTGTTTAGTAGAGGAAGAAAAGACTATGTTTTGCCTATAGCACATCTAGATGTGTGGACTAATGACGTGGATTTAATTGGTTTCTTCCACAAGGAAACATTCTAAAGGCTTTTGTATATTTCAGGTTCAGCATATCTGACTTTTCACCCCTCTTGTCTGTCTTTCTGAATCTTCCTTAAGGATAGAGATTGTAAAGTTCCTGCCCAGCTGCACAGCTTGAGGGTTGTAAGTCTAGAGGATGTGAGTTTTCTACAGCTTTGTTGACGTCCCTCACTGTAGGCTGGAGGGAAAGTGTTGTCAGACCTGGTAATTCTCAGATGAAGGAGGTCTTAGAGTTGCTGACAGCAGTAGGCCTAGGCTCAGAAGATTTGGCTCTTAAGATTCTTCAACAGATTTATTTTCCTGAAAAATCAAAAACAAAAATAAAAGATTCAGGTATCTCTGTGAAAAACAAGTGGCAATTTATTTTGAAATAAAAATGACCGATAAATTGCAAAATGGTTTGCTATATGCAAGTTAGTTTTAAAATTAGTTTTAACGTTATATGCTGAGTGTTCATCATTTTGAATGCTTTTTTATCTATGGGGAGAATAGTTATTATAAGGTTAAAGAAAAACTTTGGAACACTAAACAGCAGCTAATAACTATTCTAAATTAGGACTGTGTTTTACACATTAACTGATCATAAGATTTACTTGGGGTATTTATTAATATACAGACCCTGGGCCCCAACCTAGACATTCTGAAACACAGTCTCCACAATAAAGGCCTGGGTACCACTCTGGAGAGTCATACTTTATTGGTCTGGGATGGGGCCCAAGCTTTGCTGTTTTTTAAAATCCTCCAAGTAAATCAAAGTGTAGCTAGGACTAAGAACCATTGATCTAGCTTAACCAGCACAGTCTAGCATCGAAACAAAGGAGACCTAAATTTAAGGATTTGTTTTTCAACTTCCAGGTCCCAGTGCCAATTGTCACTTAACAAATCAAGATTCAGGAATGCAGAATTCCCTCAATTTTGTTTTTGTTCTGTCTTTTTCATTTAGATCTGAGAGGCGGGAATAATTTTTTTTTTTTTCAGACCAGAAGGAATTAAAAGGGTATGCCTATTCTGGGAAAATAACTGTGTTCTTCATTATTGTAAAGACAGAACCTTGTCTTTATTGACAAAAACATTCCAATGTGTGAATGGAGTTGACTATTTACTGTTGAAGTCTTCCAAAATGATTTAGCTTGTCATTCCAAACATTAATTTTGAATATGAGTGACTAAAATAAACAATATAAACAGCCATCACCTGTCACATTTCTATGTGCAGTAGTAGATTGCTGACAATATAGTCTAGTTCTGTCTCTTGTTAACATAGCCAAGGAGAGTTCATAGAAATAGCTCCAACAATAAATATTATTCTTCCTATCATCCATTTGCTTTTAGCCTGGGAGCACTTCAGCTTAAAGTTTGCATTCCCTAGCCCACGATACTATGCTTTTGGTAATATATATGTTTCTTAGTCTACCTACTTACTGCACCTACCACCCATACAGAGCCACTTGGTTCGCAAGCAACAAGAGCAAAGAGAGAGGGTATCTCTTTAGCATATTTGGAGCAATGGTCTAGGAAATATTTTTGCCATACTTAGAGATATATCTATTTTGATTCTTGGTTATCTTCAAGGTCCAGAAACATGCATTTAAACACAAGCTTTTCAAGTGATTCTTTGCACACTGACTTTAATTATTGGTTTTTCTCTCTAGATAGCCCAGTTAAAGAACATAGTTAATCTATCTTTTTGGTTGTTTGGAGGTCTTACTTTTAACAAAGTATTTAAAATAGTGTTGTGGGTTGAATTGTATTGCCCAAAAAGATATGTTGACGCCCTCACCCCCTCAGTACCTGGGAGTGTGACCTTATTTGGAATTAAGGTCTTTGCAGATGTAATCAAGTTAAAATAAGTTCATTAGGTTGGCCCTAACTCAATGACTGGTGCCCTTATAAGAGGAGAAGACAGAAACACACAGGGAGAAGACAGAGAAAGAGATCAGAGTGATGCATCTACAATCCAAGGAACACCAAGGATTGCCAGCAAATACCAGAGACTAGAAGAGGCAAGGAAGGAATCTACAAATTTCAGAGGGCACGTTCCTCTGCTGATGCCTTGATTCCAGACTTCTAGCCTCCAGACCCCAGAGAATAAATGTTTGTTCTTTTAAGCCACCCACTTGTACAACTTTGTTATGGCAGCCCAAGGAAGTGGAAGAAACAGAAACAAAAACAAAAAACAGAGTAATCACTCTGAGGTCCTGCTGTTTGCGACATTTGAGGCAATGTTTCTCAGTGTGGTTGAGAAAAGTCCCCTCATCAGAATCACCTGTAAAGTGTTCATTAAAAATACAAATTCCTACACCCTTTCTCTTGCTTCTTAGATCAGCGTATCTGAAAATAGGACCCTATAATCTATGTTAATAACAAGCTACCCACTTAAAATATCTAAGCACACTCTTCAGGTAATGTTTTTCAGTCCTTGCTGTACTTCAGTATTATTTATGCAGCTTTTTGAAAACCTTATATACCTGAGTCCTTCCTCCAGGGCTTCTGATTCAGTGGGTCTGTGTGGGTATGGACATCAGTATTGCTTAAACACTTCACAGGTGATTTTTTGATATGCAGTCAGGACTGAGAAACACCACTCTACAAACAGAGCACTACAAAATCAGGACTCTGACAGTTCCAGGCAGCCCATCCAGAGGCATCTTTTGATCTTAGCTACCCCCACTGTGTGTTGTAGTCAATACAGGTTGTCAGTCCCTGCAGCCTTCCTCCTTACAACCTCTTCTCCAGATAGCTCCTTTTCTTAAGAATGGTACTCATGGCCAGGCTTGGTGGCTCAAGCCTGTAATCTCAGCACTTTGGGAGGCCAAGATGAGAGGATTGCCTGAGCCTAGGCAACATGGTGAGACCTCTTCTCTACAATAAATCAAAAAATTAGCCAGGTGTGGTAGCGCACCTGTAGTTCTGGCTACTTGGAAGGCTGAAGTGGAAGGATCTCCGGAGCCCAGCTGGTCGATGCTAGGGTGGCCGTGAGTGTGCCACTGCACTCCAGCCTGGGTGATGGAGTGAGACTCCAACTCAAAAGAAGAAGAGGAAGAAGAAGAGGAAGAAGAAGAAGAAGAAGGAGAGGGAGACGGAGAGGGAGAGGGAGAGGGAGAGGGTGAGGGAGAGGGAGGAGAAGGAGAAGAAGAAGAATTGTACTGCTCAGAGAGAAGAGCTTAATGGATTTTTCACCCATGTGTTCCCTAAGTTACTTCTTCACCAGCCTTCCAGAAGAGCTAAGAAGGAAAAATAACACTCACTGCTGGTGCAAGCCAAGTGAAAGAAACCTCTATAATATTACAATATTATAGTACCTTTTTATTCCCTTTTGAATCCCCAAGTACACAGAATTGGATAATTCCAACTCTTTTGTTTATGGCACATTGTAATCATTGGTAAATTGGGGCCCTCTTCTATTTGTTTTCTTTTTCTTCTTTCTTTCTTTCTTTTTTGTTTTTTTGAGTCTCAGTTTCATTCTGCCATCCAGGCTGGAGTACAGTGGCACAATCATGGCTCACCACAGCCTCAACCTCCTAGCCTCAGGCAATTCTTCCACCTTGGCCTCCCAAAGTGCCAGGACTACAGGTGTAAGCCACTGCACCTGACCTTGCTTTCTTAATAATATAATGAACACCTATGGACAAACACCTGTAAACAAACACCTACCAACTTTAGGATTGAGTATAACTACTAATTTTCACATCTACCTATGCTCCTCTTCATCTCACCCTCCTACCTACTCCTTTCCAGAAATAACCAGTATTATGAAATTTGTGATTATTACTTTGCTTGTATTTACATAACACACACACACACACACACACACTCCTATGCCTAAATGATATGCTAGTTTGATTTGTTTTTAACTTTATTTTTAAAAATATCAAGCTGTATGTAATCTTTGACTTGCTCTTTTTACTCCACATTTTATTACTATACAATTTATTTATAACCATTCTAATAGGATGAGAAAGGAATAACGTTTTGGAAGCCCACATATTGTCTTTGAACTTGACGCCATTCTCCTTAGTTTCACAATCTAGACTGTCAATGCCCTGACCCTGGCTGACCTTAATTCCTTTCGTTATCCTCCTTTCCAATCAAACTGTAATGCTTACTCTTACCTACTTTCCTGCTACCATGTTATTGTTTGAGCAGTTCTTTTCATCTTCACACAACTTTGCATGGGGAAATGCTACAGTCCTTCAAGGTTCAGTTCATGAAGCTGACCTTGATTTCCCACCTCAATTCTAATTCCCATAATGCTTTGTTTGTCTTCTAGAAGAATTACATTTGTCTAATACTGTAGATATCTATTTGATGTGTTTTTCCCTAAATTCTAATTTATAAACTCCTTGAGAGTCTTTTTAAAACATTCTATCCCTTCTACAGCTGTGCTCACAGTAACTGCTCAATAATTATCAAATAAATGCATGGGTTTGACTGAAGAAAAGTACTTAGCACTGACGATTTGAAGAGAAATACAGTCTTATCTCTGATTTGATTGCTGATATAGCTTGGATAAAAGCCTTAATTTTCCTTTTCCTTTTATTCTCCTTTGCTGCTCTGTAGTCTCTCATTGTGTAAAGGAGACTAAATTCCAGATTATAATCCAGAATTAAGGAACTGTCACTTTGTTTAAAACTTTGCTTTTGAAGTGCTATTACGTGATTTCAAAGGAAAACTACAGGGAATGAGTTAAGTTTTAAACTCAGTTGTTAAAAAGTTCAATTTTGCCTACAGATTATTTTCAGTAACAATTGATAGTACATTTTCTGCCTCCTACACAACCGACCCTGAATCTTCTTAGGTCTGAATATTTATGAAATATTTATTAGAATTCTGTGAAATTTAGAGAAGCTTAGAGAACAATTATCTCAGCTACAGTTGTCAATTTCTTTATATGTTTCCTGTGAAAATTTGGAGAACTAATTACTCACAAATTTCTTAAAACCTCTATAGTCTGCAGGAAACCAGTCTGATCATTCACACAGGTTTATCAATTTAATTCTTTAAATTGGTTAAGGACTTTGAAATGAATAAACAAAAAATTAGGTATTGGGGAATCCTATTGGTTACTGTAGTACTATATCTGCAACAATTTCTCATGAATGCTTTCCAAATAGGGTTGTCATGACTCTCTTTGCTAACTAATTAATGAGTTACACAGTTAATGTGATTGCTCTGTCAAAAACTCTGCACCATTTGGGAAAAAAACCCATGCACTTTCAAAAGAAACAAATTCTATTAATACTGGAGGATCTAATTTTTGTGGAATTATTTTCGTATCCTGCAGTCCTTTCTGGAAAGCTCATAAAAGTCCATTGTAAAAGCAATTGAAAGCTATTGAGAGATAAGGCAAGCAAGAAATGAGGAAAAAGTAAGGAATTGGGAAAAGAAAGGAAGGAAGAGGAAAAGAAAAAGAAGGGAAAAAGAAATGTGAGACGTAAATAAAGAGGATGAGAGATGTGGAAAGGAGATGCAAGGTGGGAAGAAATGAATGATTAAGAGGAAGAGAAGGAAGGGAAGGGGAAATACTGGGAAAAGGGGAAGATGAAAAAAGAGAAAGAGAAGCTTGGGAAAATGAGAAAGAGATTAATAATTGGCCAATGTCCAACTTTAACCTGAACATCTGGTTTACTTAACTTCTAATGTAAATCAAAATATCCACAAGTAATGTGAATGCACTTTCGGTTTTCTGATTGCATGTTTTGTTATTAACTTGGTTAAAATAAAACACTTGGTAATAATAAAACAAAAAACTTCTTGAGTTTTTGGTATAATTGAAATGTCAAGTCCTCACTAATGTTTGACATCTATATAGTATTTATAACCTCACAGGAACAAAATAACATACATTCCCAGATCATGAATTTTGCTCCTTAAAATGAGAAGGGAATGTGGAACTTTCTCCATCTATCAACTGAAAGGAATTCCTCAGGTGAAATGTGTTTCTGACAAGAGCAACGAAGTTCTACACAGGCCTCCAAAAGCAGATAGATATTTATTAGGCAAACCTTTATTGAGTGCCAACCACGTTCCAGACACTCTGCTAAGTGCTGAGGATATAGAAATAAGTGTATCTGGATTCCTGTCTTAGTTTTTGAGGTGCTCTTTTTAGTTACTTGTATTTTCTTTAACATGATAAACTTCTGGAAAAAAAATCCACTGGCAATTTTACATTTTTCTGCATGACACCTGTCTATATAATTCCAGAGTAGAAATCTCACCAAGTAGCTAAGGAAAATGATCAATGGAACATTCAGAAAAAAAGTCAAAACTATCAATTCTAACAGCTTTCAAGAGTTAACACATTCTGCTTGTATTTATCTGCCTAGTGGGGGAGAGAAAACTAAGAGAGGTAAGGGCTGTTAGAGTATCTAGTTCTACATCTGCCTATGAAGAAACAATTCTAGCAAGGCAAGTGCTTCTTCACTGTCTGGAGCAATTAAGTAATAAGCTTGCTCATGTGGGAGTTGCTGTATCTTCTGCGGCAGATGGTGCCTATTTGTCACACCTGCCGATAAATAAAATAATGCCACTCACTTCACTGGGAATAATATTATAATATTTCCAAATCTCTCTTACCTTTCCTGGCTCACGGTATGAATGGGGTTGGCCATTTAAATATCCCTTTTGAAGCTTGCCCCGACAGGCAACTTGTTCAGGAACATTTCTGGAATAGCTGGAAAATAGAATGAAAGCTTGTTTTTGCCCAAGAAGCAGCACTATGTTCATGCAAAGTATGCTTTCTCTTTCATCTCCCTAAAGAGTAATCCCTTTCCAGAAAAACAAAACAAAACAGAAAAGCACCTTCTATTAGTTACTTAAAATGCCAGTTACCACTTACAGCTTCAGGGTGCAGTTTCAGATGCCTGCTCCTTTATAAGCTCCAAAGAGCAAAGAGAAGTCTATTTGGATGCGCATGTGCCCTCTGGAACACTTGAATGGAAGCAGCCTGAATTAGTTAAGTCCCCAGTTCCTCTTTCGCAGGCAACTGTTCAGAGTATGCGGAAAGGTAGTGATTCAGCTCTGCTCTGCCTTAGCAGTGTGGAGCCTGAGAGGGAGGAGATAGGGGAAACTGAGAAGCGAAGTTTGTAAAAAGCTTTCCACTTTAACCCCTTCCAGGCTTCTTCATGAATCTGTAGGATTAACTGAGGCTCCCTGTCTTTATAAAAGCTGCTTCATATGTCATTTAAGAGGATCAGATTTCTTGTTCAATTTGAGAGGGTTTTTTTAAAAAATCCTAGGTCTTACAGTAATATATGCTTAGAATTGAAGCCAAATGTGCCAGGATGTAGTAGTATTTAGATAATTCCATCTTTAAAAACAGAATGTATGCATGTATATGTTTCTAGGTTTGGAAAAAAATTTTATAGGTACTGCTATTTGGTTTGAGTATTTTGTGAAAATTTAAGGTCAGCCTGATTTTCTGGTTGGGGTTCTAAGATTTAGGTAGAGCACTTTGAAAAAGTCTTACCTATCCAAGGGTATATGTTCCATTATAAATGATTCATCCACCTTTAGTTTAAATGCCCTTACCATCTTTTATATATTGTGACAGGAGGAAGGAGATTAACATTTCTCGAATGCCTACTCTGTAGCAAGCAGTTCACATAAAACAACTTCATTTAATCCTCACAACTTTGTGCTTTGGATTTTATGATCTCATTTTGCAAAGAAGGAACCTGAGACTCAGAGAGAAAGTATACCCTGTAGTTTAGTAAGTCTAGAGCTAGCATTGAAAAACAAAGTGTGATCCCAAGGTCTCTGCTCTTTTCTCTGTAAGCGTGGGTCTTAACCTTTGTGCGTCTTCGATTTCTTTAGGGACCTAATGAAAGCTAGGGACCTTCCCCTTTCTCAGAAATATGCATATAATTTCCATGCTCCATGGCTTCCAGATTAAAAACAGCTAAATGTTCCCATGTTTCTTCTCCAATTTGCTGTGATAAGAGCATTATCTATCCCACAACACATGGTCATAAACAATTTTTTTATGGTACCAATAGTCATAACAGTATTAATTACAGTGTCATACCAATCTTTAAGAAATTACTGTAGAGATTTTCCCTTTACTTTCACATTCTCCTTAAAAACACTTGCATCTTGTCTTTTCATTTCCCTCATCCCAGTGGTTACAATGAATAGAGGGTTACCAGCACAACCATTTCTCAAACTGGAGTAGTATGCTCAAGCTTCATGAAAGGATAGGTTAAACATAGGGCATTTTTCTACAGGATTGATTTTACTTGAATATTTGGATCGAGCATAGATAATTTAAGTGACAATTTTAAACATAGTTTAAATGACAGTAAACTCATAAAATCATATGCAAATTGTGCATGCCTTTTTATGATCAAGCATGAGACTTCAGAGAAATTTTGCAGTTGTGGTGGGATCTCTTTGGGCTACCCAGGCTTCCCCAGAGATACTTGTTCAATCTTCTCTGCCACTTGGGATATTTTCGTGGAAAAGTTCAAAGATCATGGTGTATAGATCTTTTGTTTTGGGTTTTAACCTCAGCTCTTTGATCTGAATTTTCTGGATTACCTTAAGGTACTCAATTAATTTATCTGACAGTTTTTTCTTCCATAAAAGAGGGACATTTATAGAAAAGGGATTATTTGAAAAAAATATCACTAAAGCATGCTCTATAGATGTTTAATTAATGTCAATGTTGTTTCAAATTTTTAGCTGTCATAAGAGGATGAGGCTACTTGAATCTAACTGGAGGTTTTTATCAGGTAAAATGTGCACAGATGGGGGTAGAGCGTACACATAAAGCCTAGATAAAAAACTATCTGTACCCCCAAAGCTATTGAAATAAAACAAAATTAAAAAAAAAACTGGAGGTTTTACCAGGTATAATTTATCTTTTCTTACCTAATTAGACAAAAAACCTTTTTTTAACATGATATTAAATTCAAGTATCCAGGATACTTGATACAGGATACTAGATACCTCGCAATAGATGGGTTTTCCAAAGCCAGGTCATCATATACAGAATTTACAAGAGCATGCTCCAGAACAGCTTCCAAGAAAAAAAAAAAGTCAGGTTGTGGAGGTTTGTGAGAAGGGAAACTTGTGAAAATATTTCTTTGCAGAGAGCAGTTGCCAGGTTAAAACTCCACTCCACCTTCCACAGCAGTGATGGGGTTGGGGATAAGCTAGTTCCTTCACCTCAAGCCTAGTGAGAGAGTATTTCACCAGACCACTCAGAGAGCTTTACATTGCAGTATAGAGGCAGAGGATTAGAGAGGTAGTTCATTACAAGAAAGCTAATGTGACCCTTGGCAGGGGAATGCTGTTGACTATTTGTCTTGACCTGCATTCCCAGAGTTTGTCAAGGCAAGGGATGTTTGAGTGTTTTCTGGGAACCAAATAGGGACCGTGTAAGAGATAGAGAGCCACGGTGGGGTCACCCTGGATCCTGTCCAATAGAACCACCTAGAGGGTTTAAAGGACCCAACAACAGGAAGCTGGAGATAACTATTGTATTCCTAGGGCTGAGGAAGGAGTTGTGAACTGCCAACCTAAATAGAAATGTATTATTCCAAGTCTCCCAAATTACAAGAGAGAGGTCCTCACTGGTGGAGACTTCTTTGAAGAAGTAACAGAAGAGCCAGAGACTCAGAGACTGGGAAGCCATTCTACCAAGAAAGAAATGACCAATCCCTTACCTCTCTTCCCTGCTCCTGCTTCCACCCTGGCGAAGCTCCAAATAGAAATTGGCAAGTGTAGAGAGAAGAAAACCCATCACTCTTCCTTTTCTAAAGGTAAGTGGCCACCATTACAGGCCTTAGCATGGCAATGGGGGTGGAAATCTTATCTTTGAGTAAAGACTGAGGAATTTGATTAATATCTTAGATTGAATACATCCATTACTGAATCAAGATTGTGTTTTGTGACTCAGAGGGTCCTTTAAGATTGTTTGTTTTCAAAGAAGTGAGCAGAAAAGTCTTGTGATCTATTCAAGCTTCCATCCAGGGTCAGGGAAAGCTTACCTTAACGGGCTAACATTTTATTAAGACATTGAGAGACAAAATAAAGTTGTGTTTTGATTCTATGATACATTGTACTTAAACAAATACCAGTTGCATTCACTAACTCATTCCTTCATTCAACAAACATCTGAGTACTTATTATGTACCAGGCATTGTTCTAGAAGTAGGGCATACAGTGAAATGGAAGAGTACTTGTCCTCAAAATACCGATGGTCTATTGTAGGGGTCAGCACATTTTTTATGTAAAGGGCTAGATAGCAAATATTTGGGGTTTTGGAGGGCTATATACAGTTTCTGTTGCATATTCTTTTTTAACTAAGGTTTTTTTAAATGTAAAAGAAAATCATTCTTATTTTGAGGGCTGTACAAAAAGAGGCCATGGGTCAGATGTGTGCCTCTGGATCCTAGTTTGCTGGCTCCTAAACTACAGAAGAAACTCATGTTTTAAAACCACCAATTACCATATATTTATTATAATTGAATATGTGTTTAGGGGACTTGGGCAGGAGGCACAGAAGAGCATTATCTAACTCTGACTGGGAAATCAGGGCTTCTAGGAGGAGGCCTGTTGATCTGAGACCTGAAGGACGAGCAGGAGTTAGAGTTAATGGAGGTACGTGGCAGAGGGAGCTGCCTGTTCAGAGGCACCAAAGCTTGAGAGAGTTTGGTTCACTTTGGAAACTTCAAAAGGGGAAATCTGAACCTTAGAGAGGTTAAGTAATTTGCTCAAGATCACACGGCTAGTAAGTGACAGAGCCTAACCTCTTAACCCAGGTATGTCTGACTCCAAATTTGTGCTCTTAGTCACTGTGTCATATTCCTGCCCTAGTATTATAACTATGTCTAAGATCTGCTTCTAGTATTTGCAAATTAGCAGCTCTGTTTGGCTCACTTCTGATCCCCTAAGGATGAAAATGACAACGTTCTAAAAGGGCTGGCAGATCTTAAAAATAAGACAGTGAATAATGTTGGGTTGTCAAAATTAGGACTCTAGTTTTCCTTTTTAATACTAACCTTCTGCCTCCAATAAAACCTAGCACACATTGATCAAATACAAGGAATGTGCTTGTTTCATCCTTCCAGAAGGTTTTTTTTTTCTTTCTGGGAGCTAAACTCTAGCCCTATTACAATGTAATTTCTTACCTTCTTGTTATAGATGTAGGCATTTATTTATTTATTTATTTGTTTGTTTATCTATTTGAGTTGGAGTCTCACCCTGTCACCCAGACTGGAGTGCAGTGGCCGCTCCCGGCTACTGCAGCCTCGACCTGCTGGGCTCTGGCGATCCTTCCGCCTCAGCCTTCCAAGTAGCTGGAACTACAGGCGTGCACTACCACGCCCAGTCAATTTTTGATTTATTGTAGAGATGAGGTCTTGCCAAGTTGCCCAGGCAGGTCTCGAACCCGCGGGTTCAGGCAATCCACTCACCTCGGCCTCCCAAAATGCTGGGATTACAGGCTGAGCCACCGAGCCAGGCAGATGTAGGCATTTGTAAGGAATGGCAAACTCTGGCTTGAACTACATATTGATCCAAATACTGTTCCCATATTTATCACTCACATTGATGACGTTGGGCAAGTGTGTTCACTCAGCACAGATTGAACCTGTCAATTATTTGAATTTCTTGGTGGATTTTTATTGAGGTAGTATGGTTTGGAAAGCTAGATTAGTCATGCAGCAACTAATCTCTGAAAAATACCTTAAAGCCTGCCATGTACTCTTGGAGTTAGCAAGAATAGGGGTTGAAATGAGGAGGAAGAGAAATATGGGCCTTGTTGGTCTTCTGATGGTCAATGTTTTTTTTTTTTTTTGAGTTGGAGTCTCATTCTGTCACCCAGACTGGAGTCCAGTGGCCGCTCCCGGCCACTGCAGCCTCGACCTGCTGGGCTCCAGCCATCCTTCCGCCTCAGCCTTCCAAGTAGATGGAACTACAGGCACGCACTACCACGCCCAGCTGATCTTTTAATTTATTGTAAGTCTCGCCAAGTTGCCCAGGCGGGTCTTGAACCCGTGGGCTC